GCCAGCACCCTCCCGGCGCACAAAGTCGGGCGGTTCGGGAGGACGCCCCTCTCCTACGCCTCCGCTCCGAGGTACGTGGGGGCAGTGGGATGCACTTGTCCGTCTGTCCGGAGCTTGTCTGTCTATTTTTCCACCTGCTTTTCCCACTGGGATGCCCGTTATGTCCATCGAGGCATCTCACCCTCTTTTTTTCTGTGCCATTTACGCATCTCTGGGTGGCGTGGGGGTTTCTCTCCGGCTCACGGGCCACCGCCCCTTCGTTTCCGCAGCGATGGGATGAAAAACGCGCGCACGGCATGGGGAAAAAAATGCATAGTTTGTGTTTATTTCCGTTCCACCTTGAGCTGTGCCGTGGAAGAGAAAACAATTTCCCTTCCAGGGGGGCGATGTGTGTGTGTACAAACGTGTACATCGATGTATAAGAGCTGGGGTGGGTAGATCGATATGGACAGAGGTGGAAACAACCTGCAGGAAAACTCCTTTTTCCATAGGGAACGGTGTAAATATCAATGGATGGATATTGCATATATAGGGATATATGTGTAGACATATAGGAACCTATATATGGGTCTGCGTGTGAATATACTCACATAAATACACACGTTCCGTCTGCCCGAGTCATTTGTTCCATGTTATTCCCGATCCCAAACCACTGCGGCTCATGGCAAGCGCTGCTATTCACATCTAATTTTCCTGCGAGGAGATGAGGGATCCCTTTCCAAGCCCAGAACTCCAAACCGAGCTGGAAAAGCCCATTTCTGGCCCCAAACGAGCAAGTCTGGATGAGCAGTAAAGGCATGCCCGAAGCCTGATGCTCCTCTTTTTGCGTTTTCTCGCATCTGCTAACGCCAAAAAAAGTCCTAAAGTTACAAGAGGGGTTGGAGCGGAGGATGGATACCCCTCCCCGGTGTTCCTCCCTGACCACAAAGGTATCGGGATGAGCACAGCCCCAACCCCAAATCAGAAACCCCGTTGCCAAACCCCTGGCACGGGGACATCCAGGCTGATTTTTGCTCATCCGACTCCTCCAGGACAAACTCCAGGGTTGGGATTTGCCTCCTCCTTAGCTCCAGACATTCCCAAGGGAAAGATTCCAGCTTGGAGAGGTCAGATCAGCTGGGTTGGCTTTGTAATTAGCATTTATGGATTGCTTAATGGTTTTCAAGTCCTCGTTAGGAGATCAATCACGCTCCAGAGGGGCCGGTGTTTCTCTGTTGATGGTAACATGACACCCCCCCACCCCCCCAAGTAACGAGGGGACCGTCACTCAATTTTCTCTCCCCTCTCCATAACAGCTTTGACGAGCTGCTCAGCTGGACACAACCACATCACAGACACATCCCGGCCAAGGAATGTCTTCATCCATTAATTAGCATTCCAATTTAACCTATTAATTATCATTCCCATTTAATGCGAGACCCCAAAGCTGCACAAAATGTTCCTGGAAGGCAAAAAGTCCGGGTTTTTTTTGAGGTGCAGGACCCTGGGATAGAGGTTAATCTTTATGGATCTGGGAAATTCACCACCAGATCCTGGTGCTGACTTTGCATCCATGCGCATTCCCGCTCTCCTGTTGCTTTTTATGGCCCCTGTTGAGCCCTGGAGCTCAGTCAGGTCATCTGAGTCCCCAGCGGAGGCTTCCAGGGCGAAAGGGGTCTTGAACGAGCGCTCGGATGGTTCCCTGGACCCGAGCCTAGAGCAGCTGTTCAACATAAGCCTGGGGACTCAGATCTTCCATTTGGCATCGGGTCAGCCAAAAAAAAAGCCAGGAGGCCCAGATCTGCTGATTGTATCCCAAAGGATTTCCCTTTTCCCACCTCCCTCCTGCAAAAAACGAAAGGATAGGGAGCCTGGGATTTATGGGGGGCAAAGGGCAGGGACCTTCCTGCTCTCTTTTTCTTCCATCTATGTGTTGTCCTCTAAAGCCAAGGTCTTTGTCACCAGTTCAAAGAAACCGGACACTGCAGGAGTGACCTCGGGCAGCGGGTTCGTTCCTGGAAGAGGAACGCCCACTTGGGGCTGGATGCCAAGCATTCATGTTCCTCGTCCAGCCCCGGTGAAATCAGTCCTTGCCCGCAGGAGAGAGGCCATGGCGGCCGTGTTTCTGCCCGGCAACCTCCAGGATGAAGCCACTTGCTCCGTCTGCCTGGAATTCTTCAAAGACCCCGTGTCCATCGAGTGCGGGCACAACTTCTGCCGGGCGTGCATCATCAAGAGTTGGAAGGACTTAGAGATGGACTTTCCCTGCCCGCAGTGCCGAGAGGTTTTCCAACAGAAGAGCTTCCGACCCAACCGGCAGCTGGCGAACATGTCCGAAATCATCAGCCAGTTCACCCTCCGCGGGGGCAAGGGGGCGGAGGAGGACGGGCTCTGCGCGAAGCACAGGGAAGCCCTGAAACTCTACTGCAAGGACGACCGGAGAACCATCTGCGTGGTGTGCGACAGGTCCCGGGAGCACCGGCCGCACGCCGTGGTACCCGTCGACGAGGCATCCGAGGAGTACAAGGTACCTGTCCGTCCGTCTGTCCTCCCCGGGTCTTTCCGTGCGGTGCGTGCGTCGTTCCGTGCGTTTGTGCTCACGCGGTCACCCGCCTTTCCCACGCTCCGCCGCCCTGCCAAGAGCCGCTTGCTGCTTTCTAGCGTTCCAAAAACCTGGAAAAACCCGGCTCCTCTCCAGACACGCAAAACTCTTCCCATCATCTCTGCAGCCGGGGAGAGGGTGGGATTAAAAATAGGGCAGCCGGGACCGCTTCTCCCGTGCAAGCTCCGGCAAAACCCCTGGGCTCGAGCCACGCGAGCGT